CCCCCCCCCCCCCCAAACACACGGAAACCAACATGCCTGAAAAAAAGAAATGAGGCCGGATTTGGGCTGTACTTGGAAAGCGCAGCAAGGCCCTGGAGGGCAAAAAAAAAAAGAAAAAAACGTTCAGTGGTTTTTTTTCATGCCCGGGGTACCCCCGGGCGAGGTCCCTACCCGGGCGTGGCTTCCGGGGCGCCCGGCCGGACGCGCTCGGCCGGGCGCCCCGGGAAAGCTAGGGAATTTACTAATTTAGCCTATACCTACAAACATCGCCTGTCATAGATGAAGTTCATCAACGGGGACCATTTTGTTTCGGCCTCCGAAGAGTGTGCGGACCCACTCTGAGGCCGATATGAGGGAAAGGTGGCAGTGGTTTGAAGTTTAAACCACCAGGTTAGCAAGCCACGATTTTCGGAAATGTACAGCCACGATTTTCGGAAATGTACCGGTCACTACATGAGTGCCCAAATTCGTCAGACTAGAAACATTTCTTCTCTATTTTTTTCCCACAGCCGCTACTGGTGGTTTAATAGAATGGTTCCTCTTTTCTTCTTCTGTCTGATGTTTGGCTTCTTCCTGACATTGTACAATTTCGACGTTCGGAGGTGACTTTTTTGAGATGTTTGGGACCATTGAGAAAAGCTACTTCTTCTTCTTCTTCTTCTTTTTCAACTTTTTCTTCTTTTTCTTCTTCTTCTTCTTTTTCTTCTTTTTCTTCTTCTTCTTCTTCTTCTTTTTCAACTTTTTCTTCTTTTTCTTCTTTTTCTTCTTTTTCTTCTTCTTCTTCTTTTTCTTCTTTTTCTTCTTCTTCTTCTTCTTCTTCTTTTTTTTGAGAAAACCGAGTTAATAATATGTTTTCTTCTTCTGGGACCACTGAGAAAAGCGACGTCTTCTTCTTCGTCTTCTTCTTCTTCTTCTTTTTTGAGAAAACCGAGTTAATAAAATGGTTCATGCTTTTTCTTCTTCTGCCTACTGTTGAGCAGGTACGATTTTGATCTTGGGAGGCGATACTACGAGATCCTTGGGACTATTGCGAAAGGCGACCTAATAGCATGGTACGACAAGAACATAATGTCGGAAATGTCCGCACGGAAGATTGCCATCCAGATTTGGGGAAAGGAGCACAAGGATAAAATAGTCTCCTTGGATGAAGACGGGCTATGGGAAGCTGATGGGACCGAAGAACCTGGTCAGACGGTTGTTATCAGGGACCAGCGATTGTTCCAAACGGGTCTATCTATCGTATGCGCTAAGTGATCAAACGCCACCCTCCGGTTGGTGATTGATTACCTACTGTCTTCGCCGAAAAGGAGTATACTTACTACTATACGGTCATTATGGGTGCATCTAGACTGAAAGTTGGACCAAATGCAGGCTACAATGACTGTACGGGGGCAAGAAGGAAGGCGGCTAAGTTGACAGACACCTCCCCAAAAAATGTGGAACAGAAGCTCTGTCTTCGCCGAAATGGAGTATACTATACGGTCATTATGGGTGCGCATCTAGACTGAAAGCTGGACAAAATGCAGGCTCCAATGACTGTACGGGGGGGGAGAAGGAAGGCGGCTAAGTTGACAGACACCCCCCCAGAAAAACGGCGGAACAGAAGCTCTGTGTGAATCATGGATGGTTTGAGCCAAAGCTTCTAAAAACGGCGGCGACCACCGAAGCCCCTCGCGTCAAGAGGCAGAAATGCAGTCAGTCCCAAGTGTCATTTGGGACATCGGTGGGACATTGGTTAAAGCCGGAACGGGTGGGACATCCTTGTTTGGTGGGAGTACCGAGACGACTATGCAGCACACATGGCCCTTGCACAAGGATGACACATGCAAAAAATGAACACGTGCAGTTCTAACTTCTCAGTGAGACCCCTCGCACAAGTTCTGTTGTAGCTGCCGTGTCATTTCTGGAGAATAGTCGTTGATCGCGTTGTGAGAGAAAAAAGAATAGGGAAGATAATCAGAGGAGCTAAGGCACGCATCTCCTAGAAGAGAGGCGGAGAGAGCCAAGGAAAGATATCAAACTCAACAGCAGAGATTGAAAGGTCGTCGAGCACGAGGCAACGAATTTGCTCTCAATGAATTTTCAGCAAGGCAGAGTTGCAACGGATGCCCCGTGGATTCCCGGAGCCTGCACTTAAACATTCTATTACATCTGGTTTTCATCAAGTCGTACTGCAATATTTTGGAAGCGCAAACCGCAAGATTTTCAGGCAAGCTGGACAAAAACAGACAAAAGCCTAAGGGAAGGAAGTGCGCACAATCCGTTTCTCATCCAAGAAAAAGACGATGAATGGGACCCAGCAGCCAGCTGTTCCCATACAAAGATCGAAAAGTGAAGAGAGAGAGAGAGAGAGAGAACCAGAGGCTACAAGGCTCACTCGATAGTGCTTCAACAAGGGCTGGGAGAGGGTTGTCCTGGCCTAGTGCTAGTGTCTGCAACCCCTGTCCGCTAGCCGGTATATAACCAAGGTAGGGCCAACAAGTGCCCCCGCAGATGGGGGAAGCAGAGGTTACGCTAAGGAAGCAGAACGATGAGGTGGGCAGGGGTGGAACCTGTGTGCTTCAACTAGGGCTGGGAGAGGTTTGTCCTGGCCTAGCGCTGGGGTCTGCAACCGCTGTCCGCTCTCCGGTATATCCAAGTTACCACCAACAAGTGTCCCCGTAGATGGGGAATCAGAGGTTACGCCAAGGAAGCAGAGCGACGAGGTAGGTAGGGGTGGGCCCTGTATTCGGTTCAGTGTCCATGGTAAGCCGCGGCAGTAGATGGTTGGCAAACCCACTAGTCTGCACACATGTATGTCAAGCTTTGCAAGTTCCCCATAGTCTGCATACATGTGCTCAAGCGAACGTTGACCTTGTATGGTCGGGGGGATGCAATTCGTCGCTGCAGCTCCATCGTCCAGTGGAACAATGGCTCACTCACAAGTGCCACAAGTATGGTTTATAACTTTATGGGACACAGAATGGACCAGGGGAGTTTAAGCCCATCTCTTGTACAGTATAGGCTCAATGAAGAGCAGGTCCCATCATCTGCCGGACAAGCATTCGGCAGATCTTCTCACACCTTGTGCCGATGCTAGCACAGTTTGACCTTTTTATACATATATCGTCACAAACAGAACTGCCCGGTAATATATATATATATATATATGCTAATACTAGCAGTTGGTTTGCCCATTTGCAGTGTTAACTAATCACTCAACCATGGTATAAACCATATGTGGTGGTCGCGCTGTCCCGTGGCGCCGGCTCCAGCGTGCAGTGAAATAAAGAGTAGCTATTGGAAACATTGGCACTTCTAAGAAAAAAGTTCAAAGACATATGGACATTGGATTGGATACCTATTGCCCAAGTGTTTAGTCTCCATCCTGGTAGATGTGCTATACATAGTATACAACATATATAGCATATTTTCCTCAAAGAAGGCTAGCTAATAACACTCCGCTTGGGGGGGCCCTAAACACTCCGCTTGGGCAGGGAGGCCCATTGCCAGCCCAAGCCTTTCCTCTTCGTGCTGGTAGATAGTTTTATACATTTTCCTAAAACAGCTTTAGACTATACTAAAAGAGCTCTAGACTAAATATTTCCAGAAACATCTCTAAACTATCCCAAAAAAGCTCTAGACTAGATACATTTTCCACTTCACTCGGGGAGGCCCGTTGCCAGCTCTAGACTAAAAACGTTTCCTAAAACAGCTGTAGAGTAAATACCTTTTCCTAAAACAGCTCTAGGCTATCCTAAAAGAGCTCTAGACAAATAAGTTCAACGCTCCGCTTGGGGAGGCTAGTCACAAGCCCTTTATATTTAGCATCATAACCACAAATAGAAATAGAACAGCAATAGCTCCTACATAAACAACTAAAAAAATCATAGCAAAAAAATCAAGACCTAATAACACAAGTAAACCTGAAGTATTACAAAATTCTAAAATGAGAAATAAAACGGAATGAAGTGGGAGTTAGGTTTCATAAGGATAAATAAGCTCAAATTAGTTAAACACAAGTCAACTTTGGAGACTTCCATTACTCCACAGGCCGTTGTGAAATCTCCGCCAACGCGGCCTGTGTTTTACATATGATTTTCCTTGTTAACAGGAGAATCATACTGATCATGTAAAACAAAAACCCTTAATACAGGCGATCCTAAGTGCAACAAAGTTGCCTCTACCAAGAAAATTCGGGAATGCCTTCAACTTTTTTGTCCGTGTGCCGGCACGAAGTGTGGCGTCAGAGTTTCACGTCAATTAGGAATTCCTTGTAAGTCTTTCACTCCTCGAATACAATGGTATTTTACACCAGGCAAATCTTTGACTCTACCTCCTCGAACCATAACAATAGAGTGTTTATTTTGGTCTTCACCTTGATAGGTACTTTAGACATTTTCCTAGAAGACCTCTAAGGCAACCAAGTTAAACACCCTCTGCCTCCGGAGGACAGTCCCGTCCTCCCCCCCCCCCCCCCCCCCCCCCCCCCCCCCCCCCCCCCCCCCCCCGACTGACGGAGGCCTCCACACGAGGTAGCGCAAGCATGCGGTCGAGTTTAGTGCTAAATTACGCTTGAACGAGTCAACACCTTGCTACCCTCGACAGATGAAAGAGACTCACAAACAGTCGGGCTAGGCGTGCGTTGAAAGTACAGAGTGTGCAAATATAACAGTTCGACAGATGAAAGAGACTCACAGACGCCCGGGTTGAAAGTACATAGTGTGCAAATATTGCGCTCGAAATTACGCTCGAAAGAGTCAACACCCTAGGTGTGCGTTGAAAGTACATAGAGTGCAAATATAACCGTTCCCGGGTTTGAAGTTAACATTGTTTAAAAATGTTTAATAGTACTCGAATAAAGTAAAGCTATACATCGTTTGTCTTAGCGTAATTAGCACAGGAATATATAGTCAAACAGAGATGCCTACCGTAGGCAGAGAGCGAGAAAAGGGCAATAAACGAGAGGCTACGTTAAGGACTGGCAAGATAATTTGAAAGAAACTTTCTGGAGTTCTGTTGTTATGTCCACAGTCGGGTGAAACGAGGCGTCATCATGTTTTAAAATTTTAAAACAATTATTATAATTGAATAATAATGATTCCCATGTTTGTGGTATCTGTAAATGGATGCCGATAGCTGTGTGTAAAAGCATTCCCCCAACCACCTCCTCCTCTTGAACAAAGTTTTCTAATACTAAAATAAACTTTTATAATGAACTCAATTTTTAACAGTGGTTACAACTGTCATGGTGTGCCGGGGCCCAGCTGGCGTACCACAGACAGCTGCGCCAGGGGTGGCTCAACCCACAAGTTTTGTCACCCTGAAGTTGTTTGATGTTACTTTTCTTCTTTTTCAATTTAATAATGATTTTCGTTTTTTTTCACAAAATCGAATTTAATGTGGGTTCTCCCCCCCACCCCACAGACACACACAAATTTAATGAGCAATTTCTTTTCTTTGATTTTCCTCTTTTATTTCTTTTTTTTCTTAATAAAGCCCAGGTTGTTATCTAGGCCAGCTTTCGGACATATCGTGGTGGCAGTTATCGGTGAAGTGCCTGTCCGCCAAAAGTTGTTTGATGCGTAAGCCTGCACAATATGTTATTCTTGCAAAGTCTTTTTGAATTACCTTTTTTTTTCTTTTTCTTTTTGTTCTGCTGGATCTGCCCATGACCAGACCTGGCCCAGCCCAGCCACACAGCCGGATTCAGGCAGTCTAAGGCAGCGTGAGACAGCCCGAAGGCAGCCCAGTTTGTTACATCTTTTTTTTTTGTTGTTACTAATTTTGGTGTACATCAAACTCACTCCTTTGCTGATAGGCTTTTGTGCAAATTTATTATTTTTAAGTTTTTTTTATCCTTTTTCAGTTTTAAGTTTTTTTAACCACTTCATATTTATTCCCATTCTTGAATCTTTCCAATTTGTACCGCAGTGCCGTCACATTGTATTGCATCTTTGTTTTTTTCTATTGTTTAAATTTGTTTTCAATTTTATTTATTTGTTGGTATCTAGTGAGACGGCAAAACTGTTGGAACATTGTAAAAAAAATGTAACAAATACCTTCGCACGTTGTAAAAAATGGATTCTGCATAATTTATATTTCAGAAAAAAAAAAGGGATGGATTCTATTGAAGATGGTGATCAAGAAGTGAATCGGATGCACCTCTCCCCCTTGTCGAGAGGGCCATGACTGTCACAGCACAGAGAGAGAGAGAGAGAGAGAGAGAGAGAGAGAGAGAGAGAGAGAGAGAGAGAGAGAGAGAGAGAGAGAGAGAGAGACTGTCACAGCACACAGAGAGAGAGAGAGAGAGAGAGAGAGAGAGAGAGAGAGAGAGAGAGAGAGAGAGAGAGAGATCCCTTTCTGCATTGGCAGTGAGGGAACTCTATCAGACATTGTTTCCTTGTTTATTTGTTATTCTTTTATTATTCATATAAACAACATTCGATCACAATCATCGCATAATGATTCACATTGTCTATAATGAGAGGAGAATGAGACTAGGTCAGGGTTCATGCCAGATGTGAGATCACTCTCCGCTTTGTGGACTACGCAATTAACTTAGTCGAAAAAAATCGGCATGACAGTCTAATGAATCTGTAACTGAAGTAGGTGCTTGCAGCTAAACCACCAGTACTTCCAAATGTCGTGCCCGTTAACAAGCCACCATTTCAGGAAATGTACGGGCACTACAGGAGCGCCCAAATTCATTCATTCGAATCGTAACATTTCTACTCTACGGCCAATGGCTGGGCCAAGTACTGGCGGTTTAAGCCAGAGGCATGCCCGTTAACGCAGTTTCTACTGGCAGTTTAAGCCACAATTTTAGGAAACATACGGGCTACTACAGGAGCGCCCAAATTCATTAGACTAGAAGCGCTTCTACTCTTTTTTTTGCTCGGCTGATAGCGGGGCCAAGTACTGGTGGTGTAAGAATCAGAATATTTTTCATTAACTTTAAAATTTAAAATACCTTTCACTAGATGAGTGTTTGCGTCGAGTTAAAATCGGTTCGCCCTCCCTTGGCTACACAGATAAGCCTAACTGTGGTATCTGGGTAGCCAGATGCCCACCCTAAAAACAACAGTACGCCAGCCATATATCAGCCGCAATGAGTAAAATCATTTTGCCGCCGACAAATTTGTGCGCTCCAGTCCATGCCCGTTCATCCGAGCGGGTTCCGCAGGTCGTTAACAAGACGCAAGTTTCGCCGGTTGGCCTACTGGAGCAAATAGGCAGATGTTGCCGTGCCGGTTCGTTTTTTTTTTCATTGGCACGCGCCACGCAGGGCATTCTCAGGTTCAGCACGGGAAGGATCAAAAGTACTGGTGATTCAAGTACCAAGATGCCCTTGGTTGGGTACACAGACGCCCACCCTCGAATACCCAGATACCCTTTGTTGGGCACCCGGATGCCCATCCTACATACCAAGATGCCCACCCTTAAACCACCAGTACTTTCTGTGAGGCACTTCTCTCCGACCCTCCACACGCCCTGCACGACGCACACCCAAAAATAAACCAACCGGCTCAGCCTCCTTTTGGCTCGTGCTGCCAGCCATCTTGTTTCCGATGCCGTGGGCGCGTGCATGAAAACGACCTGCGACCAATGGATGGGCCAAGTACTGATGGTTTACGCACCAGAACGCAACTTGCAATACAACAAAGCAGCCACACAGTGTGAGTCTGTGAGGCTCCAGTGTCCTGAACCTTCAACAACTACCGTCTTCCGCCGAATAAAGGAAACAAAAGTGAATGCCTGGACATTATTTCTGTATCGGGGGTCATAATCCCCTGTCACCCTGTTCCTGTGAAGACCGTAGGGCAGTACGACGGATGAACATGTCAAGGAGAAAAGAAGAAAAAAAGGATGACTATAGCAAGAATCATGGTCCTCCACGAGTCCATGGACATCCCCTTATGTTTCTTTTCTTGATCAGAGTTTGCTTTTTCTTTGTTCTTAATTCTCAAAATGGAATCCTCATGGAAATGTCAGCGTAATCTATCTGCGAAAAGTATATACCCTGCAATCTAGCTCCATCGTGATCCTTCACAAACGCACGTGGTCAGCCTACAGTGCATTATACCGCCTTTTTTTCACAAATCAATCTTGCCCTACATCATCGGAGGGCAACATGGGTTTCATGAACTCAGCTCTCCTTTCTTCACAAACCACTCACGTTCTCGGATTTCTTTGCCAAAAGAAGTAAAAAAAAAACAATCGAACAATCTTGTCCTACCTCCGCATAGTGCAATATTTCTCTGATACAGTGTGCAAGAGTGCAAGGTTGCCTTCATGCATCACAAGCAACCGCCGTGAATGGCTTTCACACTACAGACCCCTGAAAGCCCGGCGCCAAATCCCCAAGGTTCCCGAAGTTTCATAACCCCAAGTCTGAGGCTCCAATAGAGTAAGACTGATAGGCTAGGGGCGTCGTAGGTCTAAGTGAGCCAGGTAGCCAGAAAGATCACGTGGATGTGCAGTCCGTCCAGTCAGTACCCGACAGAAAAGCCTGTGAGGTAGTCTTGTACGTCAGTCCGGTACCCCAAGGAAGAGTCCGGAAATTCCAAGTCTACCGTCTTCCCCCTTATTTTGGCTGTATCTGGCCGCAAATATAGCTTGTATACATTCATTTTTAGGGTGCGTTATGTTCGCGGGGGGAGACGGCAGTCCCCAAGTCCACAAAAATTGCAACGAGTCCCAGGGAATTCCAGGAAGCTTCCGGACCAACAAAAARAAAAAAAAAAAAAATGATTGCAACATACAGGCCGTTCGTGACCGGTACCGGTCGTAGGCCGGCCAAGCCACAACAAGTTCCATATTTAGCTGCTACAGTGCACCGGCTCATCACTTGTTCATTCGTGAAGTTGCAGAAGCGCTGCTGCTGCTCGTGTAACTAAGCGACCTACCCAACTTGAAGGTTGCGCTCAAAGAAGGCGACACGTAAGTCAGCCATAGCTAGGGCAGTGATAGGGATGCACGGCAGCCATAGCTGCCAAGGACAGAGCTTCACCTGAGCGGGTGTATTCAGGACACTATAGAAGGCAAGGGAGAGAGAGAGAGAGAGAGAGAGAGAGAGAGGGAGAGAGCTGTAGTCAGTTACAAGGTTACTACAAACCTGCTTCGAGTCGGAGTCTGTGTGAGCAGTTTTTGTTTTTTTTCTTCGCCTGTCGGGCTGCTCATTTGCTGATGGGGAGTGTCACCTGCTGGAAATCGGGTCCTGATGGGGAGCGTCACCTGCTGGAAATCGGGTCCAGCGTCCCTTTAGAAACATCATCTCAGTACGGAGTTTGTTGGGGTTGCGCAAATCATCCTTTCTACCTTTGGAGCTTCTACTTCTTGCTGATCTGGTGGACCAAGTCCCCTCTTGTTTTGAAAAATCTGCCAGCAGTGATTACTCTGGCTTTCAAGGGATTGACTATGCACGTTGTTGTTTCTTTGTGCAATAAACATAATTTGTGTACCAATCTGTCGTGCAAGTTCCTGCGTCTCGGCTATTGGCTTCCAAGTGTGAATGCTCGGCTGGATGCCCGTTGCATGTGTGTGCGAGGTGGTGAGTGGGCGATTGACTCGCAAATCATCGCGGCCAAAAGAATGGTGTAATGCGAAGGACGGAAAGCTGGAAACAGAGGTAGACATGAACCTTCCTCTGCGTCTTGGTACAACGGTTCCAGCGAGATCCCTTCCACTTACGAAACAAGACAGGGGCATTCATTCTCATGGCGAGATGGAAGGAGGGAAGGAGGGTAGGAATATGTCTGCACATTCACGCCGACAGAAGGGGCTGACAACTTCAGTACAAGAGGTCCAATCTCATAATTGCTTCTCAAAAGTGCAATACACCACCCTCTCCCCTTCGGTCCCTTCCACGTGCCTGTTTTTGCCTACAGGTCACCTTTCAACCATAGACATGGTGTGACTTTCTCAACTGAATGTGGCCGTAATTGGCATTCGATGCATTCAGAAAAGTAAATGTACGAGTACGTCCTCCCTCTGTTCCCTCCACCCATTGGACTATGGATCTTGTATTCAACATATACACTGCCTCGACTCTCTGCCACCATGCAGTGGACTGTGACCTGTCCCTTGGAGAACGACACGGGTCGAACGGACATATCTCCAGTCCTACCGTAGTTGGCTGCTCCTGTTTCCAGTTCTAGTCGGGACCGCGTTGAAGCTGCGCAAGTCTGAGGGTCCAGTAGAGTAGACTACACAACCAGTTTACAGCCAATACCCACAGGCAAGGCACACGGCTATACCTACATAGTACAAGGCACGCGACTATACCTACATAGTACAAGTACAAGGCACACGGCTATACCTAGTACAAGGCACGCAGCTATACCTACATAGTACAAGTACAAGGCACACGGCTATACCTACATAGTATACCTACATAGTACAAGGCACACGGCTATACCTACATAGTACAAGTACAAGGCATGCGGCTATACCTACATACTACACTTATGCATCAATGAT